TCTCTCTCTCTCTCTCTCTCTCTCTCTCTCTCTCTCTCTCTCTCAAAAGAATTCCTAAGGGAACTTGTTGAGGGATAAAAATCAGGCAGTTTAGCTTTGAGAACATGTTACGGTTGGGGCAGCAACGTAGAAGCCCGATTTTTGCCTGAAAGAGTGAGTTTTTTAGTGAGAATGTATTAAAATCATGAAGGAATTAAATCTTGAAGGAGGTAGATCCGAAGACCTGCTGGAGTGATGGTAGGAAGGACCAATAGGAAGCCCAGAAAATTGGGGATGGGTGGGCCTTATCTGCGACCTTGGGGCTGAGGCCCTGTGTGTGGTTCGGCTGAGGAGAAAGTCCCTGATGCTGGGCTGACCTGCATTTGGTCACTGCTCATGCCCACACCCACGCCTGTGTCCAGGGTGCCAAAATCTGGCTGGGCACAAATCACAAGCCACTGAAGCAGGAACAAACTTTATTTCTGAACTCCACCAGCACACTCCACACAGGCTCCCCGGGAACTCTCCCTAACACCATGCAACTCCTCCAGGAACCAGCAACTGGAAATATCCCTCCTCCGGCACTTCCCCAACCAATGGGAACTCTCCGGGAATCCTCGCAAGATTCCGAGGAGAACTCAAAAGTCATCATCTTAATGGCTCGCTAGCGTCACCTCTCAACCACTACTTCTGGCAAAAATGTCATGCGTCACCCTGACTCGGCTGTGGCCCTCAACAAGGGACACGAGGCTCGCAGCTCGCTGGTGTGCCACCTGCTGCCACTGCCACCGCTGCACGTGGCTGGGCCAACTTGGTGTCTGGCCATTGTCTGCCCCTGTGTCCTGAGCTTGTGGTGACCCCGCTGGACTGGGGCTTGTCTCCAGAGAGAAGGCAAGTGTGTGGCTGTGCCCTGGGTGCAAGCTGTGGGAAGCCAGGTGCCAGGGCTGTCTAGTTGGTCATGTTCCCCGGATCTGCCTACCTTTCCCCGCTCGGGGTCCCTCTGGGGCCACATCACATGTGGGATTTTGTCAACTGCCCATTGTGTGTCTAAAATGGGGTCACAAACCAGCAGTCTGTCCCTTCCCTGCCAGCAACTCCGCCAGAAGGCTCTCAGATCCTAGGGATTGAGCTTCCACACTTGGCAATGCCAAGCCTCATGCCCACCGCTGAGGGAGGATGCTGAGAGAACCTCACGTAATGATGCATGTGAGAGTTAGGTATTCTCCAGGTTTCAAAGACAGGACACTGTAGCAGTATTTTATTTATACTAAGTTCATATCCTTTCAGAGGTCAGATGTCAAATGTAGTGCAGCAGTGCCCTGTGGTTGTGAGGACTTCCTTGTGTCTAAAGCACAATAGTGAAGGGTGTTTAATAAATCTGAAGCTAAAGTTAAAGGCACTTGCCCATTTTCCACGTCTAAACACCTGATTTCTCCGACATTTCTAAGTATGTGGCTTAGGGATCGTGCCTGTCTTAGGTTGTCCAATACTACAAATGGTTCTTACCCGTCATCGGATGAGCTGACCTCAAGGCGTCAGCCTCCTGTCTTAGGTTGGTACCATTGCAATTGGATCTTACCCGTCACTGACTACTGGTCCAGCATACAGCCATACTTGTGTGCCCAAGTCTGGCTTGGCACAAATCAGGAGCCACTTGTCAAAAAGAAACTAACTTTATTTTTAGAACTACAAACGCCAAACAAAACAGCTCCAGGGAAAAAACCCTCAGAGCCCAACTGCCACCACCGGCTTCCACAAGCCTCTCCCCACATCAACCTCTCAACCTCCCACAATCCTCCTGCTCTTGAGGCCGATTGGCTGGGTCGCGTGGGCGGAGCCAAAGAAGTCCCCCAATGAGCAGCTCCGTGGAGGAGCCAATCAGCTAGATGTTGCTGGGGCCGCTGTGAGCCAATCATCAGCTGGCAGTCTGAAGGGCAGGGAAACATCCCAATGAACATCACCGCAGAGGAGCCAATCAGCTAGATGTTGCTGGGGCCACTGTGAACCAATCATCAGCTGGCAGTCTGAAGCTTGCTGGCAGCTGGAAGTTTGCTGGGGCCCCTTTGGCTGTGGCTCTCAACACTTGTGGATAGGTCTTTGTATGAGCAGTGGGGTGAGGTTCTTTGCCTCACTTCTGTTAGCCCTAGCAAACTTCTAGCTGCCAACTGATTGGCTTCTCTGCGGTGATGCTCACTGGGCTGTTTCCCCGCCCTTTCAGACCACAGAGCTGCTCATTGGGGGACTTTTTTGGCTCTGCCCATGCGACCCAGCCAATCAGCCTCTAGAGCAGGAGGAGTGGGGGAGGTTGAGAGGCTTGTGGGAAGCCGGTGGTGGCAGTTGGGCTCTGAGGGTTTTTCCTGAAGAGCTGTGTGGTGTGGTGTGTGTGTTCTAAAAATAAAGTTTGTTTCTTTTGACAAGTGGCTCCTGAATTGTGCCCAGCCAGATTGTGTCGTTTGGTGGCCCGTACGGGGATTGAACCTGCGACCTTGGCTATGTCAAGGGAGGAAGTACAGATAAGAACTTTGTTGTCGAAGTTTTTTCTTTCTTTTTTTTTGTATACTATTAGGACATAATTTCTATTGTATTTTTTAATATTGAAAAGTAAAATACAGAAAAGTTCATACATAGTTAAACTGCATATGAGACTATATTCAATTTGACACAATGGTGTTGAGGTTTTTAACCCCCCGTCTCCCCGAACAGGACGAGCCAAGAGAGGTAAAGGTCAACTGGCGGCCTGCACCCAGCCCTTTCTCACCGGAGGACAATCAGACGCTCCAGGGAGATGAGTTGAAGCAGGATTTCATTTACTGAGGAAGCACACACACAGCTTATATACTGCACAGGAGCCAATCAGCATAAAGGTCAGAGGGTGGATCAAGTTCACGTGTACACCCACCCCATAGTCTGTAAGGGAAGGCACGAGCTCTCCATGAGGGTGGGAGAGTCCCAGACCTATCCTGGAGGTGGTCGGCCTCTTCTGTCACCACCCACAGCACCGCCTCCTGGCTGATCACCTGGCGCCATGCCAGCCCCATGTGTGGCCCCAAGACCGGGAAGGGCAGCAAGTCATGCCCTACACCATGGTACAGTAGCTTTCAGGTCAAGAAATAGAATATTGCCAGTTCTTCAGAAGCACTGTCTCATCCCATCTATATGTTTTTATTTATTGATTGTATTTTTTTAAATACTCTATCAAAGTTAATTTTGTTTATTCTGACTATTTTCTGTTATCTAAGGCATATATTTCATTAACCAAGGCATATTTCATTATCTAAGGTATATTTGGGGGCTTGTCATTTCCCACACATGACAGATGTCAGGTTTCAGATGTTGATTAAAGTTTAAAATTTTAATAAAGGCTTAGACACATGTACAGTTGTAGGATCTCCATGTGCTGTGACTTGTCTAGTGTTTTGAGTGATGGCCAAAAATTTTGCAAAATTTTACGCTTGTACCCTACCCAGGGATGAATTCTGAGGTGCTGAGTAAGGTGCAAACCACTGTTGGAGACTTTGTCAGATACTGATTCCATCTGTCTAGTTCTCTCTGCTGTGAGCCCTCTGGGGGGACACAGGTTGGACTGTCATTAAAGGCATGGGCATGGTGTTCCTGTTCAGGAGCTGCTCTCTGATCTCCAGTAAGTGGTGATCTTTCATTAGAAGTTAGACCACGTGCTTAGGGTTTCTCCAGTGTGCATTTTCACATGCCTGAAAATGCCTGAGTAATGCCTAAAGCCACATGCCTGAAAATGCCTGAGTAATGCCTAAAGAGTCTACAATTCTCTCCAGTACGAATTCCGTGATGTTGAGTAAGATTTCTGAGGGTGTTCACTTTAGTTGCATCCTTTACATTTGTAGGGCTTCTCTCCAGTGTGGATTCTGTGATTCACACATACCAGAGATCTTATCCTGGTATTATTAAAAGTTTTGTTGCTTTCTCTATGTTGTAGGGCTGCTCTCCAGTATGAGCCTGCTGGTGTTCAATAAGTGATGCTTTTTGCTTAGAGTACTTGCAGATCATTTTAACTATGTACATTCTGAACTCCTCCTCTGACCTTTCTTGTCCTGTGCTGTCCATGGATTCTGTTACTGGAGCATCTTAGTATATTGGGCCACTTTCTTTCCTTGTTATTTCGTGGTGTTTGTGCGTCTTCCCCTCTAGCAGCGTGAATCTGAGGTATTAGTTTTCTACCCTGTAGACTCACAGTGTTCCTGCAGGTTTCCAATACCTCACCTTCAAGGGGGCGGTCCGTATTAACACACCCAGGGCAGACAGTTTGCAGCCCTATCCAAATGGTTTTTATAAAGATGGGTGCAGGTGCTGGGATTGTGGCTCAGTGGTAGAGCGCTCATCTAGCATGGGCAAGACCCAGGTTCGATCCTCAGCACCACTTAAAAATAAAGGCATTGTGTTGTATCCATCTAAAAAATAAATATTTACCAAAAAAGATGGGTACTGTTATGTTGCAGTACACAGGATTGACGTGTATTGGTTAGTGTCTACAATATAAAGAGTGGGTTTGCAAAAGGGTCTACACTTTCTAATGGTGGACAAAGACCTCCAGGGGGCGGGGTGTAGGAGGTGATGTTGATGAGGTAGCAGGTGAGAATATAAGTGTATTAGGTCCTAGGAAAAATAAAAGAGGAGTCAATGAAGCTGGCTGTTAGCAACTGGTGCAGGGTGATGGTTGGGATGGGGGTATTGAGAGACTGGTGATTGGGGAACTGGAGGGCCCTGTTGATGGCCAAACCAGCGGGACCAGGTGATGGGTAGATAGTGGATCAGGGAGGTAGTGGGGTGCCGGGCTGGTCTTGGGTCACAGCACATGCCACCCGAGTTGGCCCTGGGAACCTGGTGGGTGCCAGCCTGGTTGGCTGCAGAGCCAGGATCCGGATGTCCTCAGATCCTCCTCTACCTACTTTCTCCACGCCTGGCACTCTCTTGCCTCTGTAGCTAGGTGGCTATTAGCATACCCACCAGGGGGACCTCGGGTTTGGCCATGTAACTGAGCTAGTGACCTGTGCTGGGCTCACAGAATCTGACTACATCAGTAATTGAGAAAATTGAAGAACACACGCAGGCACCCCAAAGTACCTTTGCATAATCCAGGACAGCTCTCAACCTTAGGGGTCTGTTGGAAAGAGAGTGCGCCATTGGGATTCTTTATTCTTAAATGGGGGTCACGCAAAGGGAGGTTCATGAATGTTCTTTCCAAATAAGGCGAAGGGTCAGGTTCAGGGGTTGCATCTGGCATCATGCTGTCTTGTGGTCCATGGGTTGATTGGCATCCTGGAAGGCCACATCCATTTCGAGTGCTGTGTGGGATGAAAAGGCAGAGCAGATGAGACGGACACACGCGTGTCCAGCCTGTTCGCAGCAGCAGCAGCAGCAGCAGCGTCAGTTCAGTCAGCTTGTGTGCCCAGGATGCTCCCTGCTCACACAGCCCATGGCTGGCTGGGGACACGCAGATATAACCAAGTCTGCAGGGAGCTTGGGTCTGGTCTCTATGTTGTCCCTCAGTGAAGTGGCCACATCGCTGTTTAGTGGTGGGGTAGTGTCAACTGTAGGTACCTTTGTGTTGGGTGGTGTCCCAAGATGGAAGCTGCCCAAACTTAAGATGGCAGTGGTGGTAGTGGAGTTAATAACCCAAGACAGTGGCCAAGGTGTCCTGTGATGGCCATGCAGTGACATTGGGTGGCCTGTTTGGAGATGCGGTGCTGTCAGGGGTGGAGCTCGGCTGACTCTAGGCCCTATCCACTGTCCCAATGTAGAGGCTACCACGTTGAGGGGGCTGTGGCATTGGCCGCAGTGTCCCAAGGTGGAGGTGCCCCGGGGCCCACATGTTGGTAGATGGGGACCCTGTAGTGTTAGAGGTCTTCATGGCTGCTCAAACCCCTCATATATATAGAGCTGACCCCTGTTACCTGGGGCAAAACCTGTGGTGTCCCCAAGCCAGAGTAGAGTTTTAAAAAGTGTCCTTATAGAGAAATCAGGGAGCTGGTATAGGCAGGCTTTCTGGACCCCGCCTCTCTCTCTGCGCTCCTCTGACCCCTAATTCCTAGGACAGTTTAGGGACCATGAGAGTGAAGAGTGCAGGGACCCATTGTGCAGAGGGGCAGCGGGGCAGCCAGGGAGGCCAAGGTTAGGTGGGGCATGGCCACCCGGGTGGGGCACGCCTTTCACCTTAGGCCTGGGTCAGAGATGGCACCATTCTGAGCCCTAAGTGGAGTCCCATAATGTGCTGCTGCCCAGGACCAGGAGCAGAGGATGAGAAAGGAGGTCTTCACCCTGACAGGCGCAGGGCCCAGCGGCTCGGAATCCCAGGCCTTCACCTTCCACAGGGCATCACCCTGGCCATGAGATCTCAGTTGCGAGTGACCAGCTCTGAACCCCTGAGACTAAAGGTGAAAGCCTCAGTCCTCGGCCCTGAGGGTTATGGCCCGAGTCCCAATCGAACCCTTTAGATCTCAACAAGAGAGTGCTGCAGCCAAAGACCCCCAGTGACCTCAGGGCTCCTCCTCTGGCCACCCGAACCCAAGACGCTGATTAGGAAAATTCAGGTTAGTACCGTCTAGGGTGCCGGGTTCCTTGTCTCATTCAGCAAAGTACAGGACAGAGGTAGCAGGCAAGAGGTGGGATCATTGCAAAGTGACACACACAGAGACAGGCTCTGCAGATCTGGGAATCACTTGGGACCTCTGATCTCTTCTTCTAATGGTCTCTGGGATTTCCTCCTTTTCTCACCTCCTCCCTGTCTACATGCCCTCACTGTTGTGGAGGGGTGTCCCCTCTGTCTACAAGTGTGCATTAGTTTTTCTGTTGGATTCCTTGCTCAGGAGCACAGGTATGGATGTGCCTGTCTGCTGGGTCCCCCGGTATGTACAGCAGGAAGCTGACCTCATAGAAGACCCTCTCCATGCCCCTTAGGTCTGGCCAAGTTCCCGGCCTCCTCCTTTGCTCCTGCCCTGACTGCTCAAGCCCTTCTAGGTCTCCCTCAAGATCAGGCAAGTAGAACTGGGTGGAAACACCAGATTTTACAGAGCTGGGGCCTGCTGGGTTAAGCCAGGCCAGCCACTGCGGTCCTTAGGTGAAGCAAAAACGACCCAAACAGGGACAGATGGCGACAGATGAGCGAGGCTTTCTTGACTAAGGAGCAGAGGGGCACATTTTCAAGAGGGACCATAGTTGGTAAAGATGGCACCTGCAGTGCTCCTCTTCTGGGAGTTCAGGTCCATGATGCATTGAATTGTGCCAACTACCACCTAAGTGGTGCGAGCCATCATCTCTAATCCCTGAAGTGGCACGAACTGTGACCTCCAACCCCTAGGAGACTCATGCCCCATCTTGCCCAGAGATGGGCTCTCAGCCCATAGAGAAGTGACAGCCCAGTCCCCCTGCGCCCCTTCATCCCCCGTTGTGCCCATAAATATCAACACCCTGCTCGTGCACATGCTCTCGCATTCTCTCTCTTTTCCCTTCTCCCTCTCTCTCTTTCTCCCTCTCTCTACTTCTCTCACTCTCTCTCTCTCCCTCTCTCCCCCCCCTCTCTCTCGACCCCCCTTTTCTTCTGTTACTGGCCGCTGCAGTCCCACTAATAGGATCTCGGACAGGTAAAGGGCTGTTGTCTTGGTGAATTGGTGGAGATTTTCTGATGCTCCTTGCAACCATGGTCACTGAGACAGCAAGGGTCTGAGTTCTGCAGGTTTAGACAGGCTGAGCCATGACAGAAAATGCATTGGTCACAGCTGCAGGGAGACCTGGCAGTGTGGGGACAGGTGGCAGATGAGGAAAGTTGCACCCATTGCATAGCCTTTTCCTGCCCTTTTCTCCTGGACGTGGTCACTTTTGACGTCCTTCCAATGCTATGGGACCCTGAAAGTGGATTGATCATACCAAGAACAGATGTTCAACCAAGAGAGTCACTGGGGATGAGGAGATGGTCTCCCGCTGAGTGGGGACAGCACAGTGTACCCGTGGGCACTGGGTCAAGTCGGTCTGTTAGAGAATGGGGCAGCTGATGGGGCCTGAGAACTCACAGGGTGATGCTCCCTTGTGGGGTCCTGCTGTTGGTGGGTGGGAGGTGGCAGGGTGATGTCCTGTGTTGTCCATGGCCTGGTTGTCCCTAGGCGGGAACGGGGTGGGTGGAGGAGTGGGAAGGGGCAGGGTATCTTCCAGGAACTGGACCTTCAGCTTAGCCCAAGGAAATGAGACCCCCCCGGAACCCCGCAGGCTGTGTGGGGTCTTAGCCTAGTGCTAGAAAAACTAGTTCTTCTTTCACCTGGCCCATGTTGATGGGGTGGCACAGTATTAGAGGGGACCAGGCTGTGAGCAAAGCCACTGTCGGGGGCGAGGGGGTGGGTGGTTGGGGTTA